GGATCTATCTTTGCAAGTTTGGCAGCTGAGGGGAAGAATGGAAGCTGAGGACACTCATTAGTTAGGATCAGAATCACTGAATGATTACAAAGGAAAGGAAGGGCTCCTCTTCAAAATCACTTATCCCACTGGCTAGGTATTTGACTCTCTGAAGTCTTCTACTGCTGTAGCCTTCAGCCTCCTACCCACATCATTTTAGCCACCCCTCCCCGACACATACACACACAGTTGTGATGTTCTTAAACAGTAAGTGGTATTTGGAAACTGTAGAGTGTCAAGGAGGTCTCTCTCCAGATCAAAAGCATATCTTCTTTTCACAGTGGCCTTACAACCTACAGATAGCTCATTGCTCAACTTTTTCTTAGTTTTGGTTGAGAGACAGCAATGCTGGTTTCTGGCTTTATTAAGTTGTAAGTAATTCTGGGTATATAAAGTCCGGGAGTGGTACACAACTAAGTAAGTCATGGCCAAAGTCCATGAGTTCACTACTCAGTGTTGGTTGACCCACCAAATGACACCAATAGAGTTTTCTTGTGGGCTTGGCAGTGGCACTAGGAATGGATATTTATTGAAAATAGTACACAAACACAACAAACAAACAAACAAACAAAAGCAGTGTGGTAGTGCACACCTGTCATCCCAGTGCTCAGTTCTGGAGGTTGAAGCAGAGAATCGGGAATTCCAGGTCATCTACAGCTGCATAGCAAGTTTATCTACAGCTTGAACTACATGAGACTCCCTTGAAGCAAACAAACAAGTCACATGTCCCAAGCATTGCTTGTCATTGGTTCCCAGTGATGGAGACTGTAGTGCGGATGAACAAGGGCCTTAGGGATTCAGCAAGGTGGGCTGTGGGCCGTTTGTCATACACATCACATGTCTTGTTCTTACTGAAGGGAGTTTGAATGTTCCTTCCTGGGCTCAACCATCACCTTATTTTGTTTTAAAATTTTTACTTGACCTTCTTTTATTAGCTGCTATTACTTGAGAAGCAATTAGAGCTAATACTGTGACAATGAGGACAGACTTTGCCATTCAATTCAGTCTGTGAAGCCTTGAGTTGCTAGGATCACAGCTAGGAAAAGCTTTTCCATTGTTCCTGGGTCTGGTGCTAAAGATTTCAGTCCTTGTCATAGAACAAAATGCTGCCCCCTCCCCAAGATGATGATAGAGATAGCTGTTGCTAGCCTGTCTCTAGGTTGCTGCTTTAGAAACTTAGCAGGGGTGCTCCAAGGTGGTCCGTGTCTTCTCTCTGTCTGGCCCTGCCTTGCCCCACTGAGAGGTTGTCCTCCTGACTCTTCTGATCATGCGACAGTGGAAGGGTGCTGCCGTGTGTCCCTGTACACTGGCCACACTATACAGCTCACACCACGTGAATGAGAACAACATGAGTGTTCTATCTACAGACCACGCTGATGTGGATTGTATCTGTGAGAGCTGCAGCCAGCAGTTCACGTCCTCATTTTATTGGCACCTCGAATGAACAAGCCAGAAAACTGTTGGAGAGATGACATTATATACACATTTTCTTTCTTTTTAGATTACCCATTGCAGTGGCTTACTGTGGTCAAAACCATTCCTGAACGGCATGGTGTGTGTATAAAGAAGCTTTTCTTTCTAAAGCTCAGCACGATCAAGTGGTTAGAGAGACCCTCTGGTACCAGGTGATAATGTTGCCTTTGCCTTCATCATCTCTGGACAAGATCCTGACAGAGCTGGGGCAGCATCCTACTTCATAAAGCCAGTGTATCTCTCCAGTCTTTTTCTATGAGGGTTTTTACCATCAGAAAGTTATGTTGCCATCAGAGAAGAAGAAATAATGAAAACAGCTATTATACTTTTACTGGATGTGAAGTGCTCAGTGGCATAATTAAAACTCATAAACAGCAAGTCATAATCACCACACAGCAACCAGCAAGCAAGTGACAGCCCCAGGTTTATTTGGGACCAGCAGTTGATGCTGTCTCTCAAGTCCCTTGTTTCAGTCTCTCCTGACTTGTGCCAAGTACATCATCTCATTTCCAAGGTGGCACACCTTTGGCGGATGTTCTCATTAGGGTTGCGTTGAAGAGCCATTTAGTCTAAAAAGAAGTTTGAGGTCTGGGGATATTTATTCAGAATGTTCTGGTGTCTTACTGATGACTGGAGTCTACAATCTAGGGGGAAAGTGGGGAGGGTGCTTTATACCTAAGGCGCTTCCAGTGGTTGTTTTGTTTCAGAAAAGGTGACATTTGGAAGCTCCCTGAAGTCTGCCTTACAACTTGAGGCAATGTAAGTATAAGTCAAACATAGGTTGTAGAATATGTTGAAGGAAAATAAGATAGAATTTTAGAACCTTGCTTTACACACTGGATGTTGCATATGCTTGATGCTCTGTCAAACAAGATTGCCATTCAGTCTGTGTGGTGTTAACAGCAACACCATTCATTTAACCATCAGAGAGCTGTAGTATGTTCTAGAAGATATTTAAATCCCCTTCTTCAGAGAGGTACTAGAACTTTTCCTGCGTTAATCTGATATCCGTTACCATGGTGAAACAGTTGAGGCTCAGCTTGTGAGGAGGAATGTTTTATTGTGGCTCACAGTTCCTAAATGTCAGCCTGCGACTGTTAGGCTGCATTGCTATCAGGCATGTTATAGCAGAAGCCCATAGCTGGGCACAAGTAACTGACTGGAATATGCTGGCTTTGTCAGCTAGGAAGCTGGGGAAGGAGGACAGGGTCTCCTCATGGCTTCAAGGGTACATCACCAGTGACCTAACTTCTTCCACTAGACCCCACCTCCACAAAGCCTTAGCACCTTCCACATGTACCATGGGCTGAATACAAGCCTTCAACACACAAGTCTTTAGAAAAACTTCAAGATTCAAATTATTACAAGCCTGAAATAGAAAATTTAATATAAATATATATACCTGCACGGACACACAAACACACTAATAAAAGAGAAAAAATTAAATTCAGGATAGCTTGAGAAAACAACATTTAAATCATCTTAGAAAGTACACCACACATAATGAGGAACAGTTTGGAACGATTTAGAAGACGGTTTGCAGGAAGACTCTTTGACTGGAAGCCAAGAGAAAGAACAAAGAAAAACGAAAGATGGCCTAACATGTTTACTGGCTTCTGAATCCGTCACCCCTTCGATCAACAGATTGTAGACTCCTAGTAGTGCTCATTCCTTCACCCTAACTCTCTGTGATGTCACATCTCCAAAGAGCAGCTGCCCATCCACACCAAAGCTCGAATTCAGATCGCTTGGTGGAGACTTGAGAGACCTTGCGCTGGAATTTTTGCTATGACCTTGTTTTCCTAACCTCCCCTCCTCCCCAGCTTCATGATTCCTGTCTCCAGTGTCATCTGTTACTTTGGCACACGTCACCATTTGCACCCATGGCCCGTGTTGCTTTGCCAGTGGTTGTTTATGTAGACAAACCATTCTGCCCTCTGAACCATGGTTCTGTAGACTCCCCTCCAGCAAGCACATTCTGCGCAGAAAAGCAAAGATTTGTTGAGATTACAGCAGACATGGATAAGTGTTAAGGGTTCTGTTTGAAAATCATGTCCCCTTGGAAAGTGCCTTCCTTGTATCTAGACAACAACTGCGTTTATTGCTCAACCAGAGACCAAGCTGCAGCCTCAGCTGCAGACCCAACTGGATATAAAAGGGGAGGAAATGCGAATTACTGATCTGTTCTCATTTGCTCTGCCAAAACCTTGACACCAGGCTTGATGGAGCCTTTCAGAGACTCTTTGTCTCTTCTTTTCTAATTCAGCTTTCAAGGGCTTACAGTGGCAGAGACCCAAGGAAGGAAGATTTCTAAATAGAGTTCCCTGGAATTCTTGGCATAGGAAAAATGATAGAGTGAACGTGAGATTCTTAGCTTGGACATACTGAATAAAGCTGGCTCTGCTGCCCAGTTGAATAGTCAGATAGTCAAAAGCAAACCTGATCATTTTTACCGCTCATGTCCTGGGCCACCGTGTCTCTCCCTTCCTCCATCACCTGTTAACACACTCTGGAGTTCGTATATCTCAAATCCACTGTTGTGGTAAACACATCGCTAAGGTGCTTGAAACCATGTCAGTCATGACATCCGAGCAGGAGAAACTGCCGAACGCAGGGAAGAGACTTCAGTCATGTGATGGTTTGGGTGAGGTTTTAATGAAAAGAAATTGGTGTGACGTGCTTTAACCTTTCTTCATGGAAACAATACACAGTGACTCACCTGCCCCATGTATTATTATATAATCATTTCTTTTTCGTATATTCAGGAAGTGATTTCTCCACATGGGAAGCCTGAGAATATGCTTCTGGTTGTGAGGAGTCCATTCATTACCGGCCTGCACTAGAGAAGTGCCGTTGCCGGATGTTGCTGTGTGGGGGATTCTGCCCCTTTGAGGGGAAAACCCCTCATGAATGTCTTGTTTGTCGACTCTGAAGCACTGAGAGGGTTTCTGATTAAGAGTCTAGAAAAGCTATAATCAATTCATTATACATTCACAGCGGAGACGAGCCCTCCAGAATATGAAGCTGGACTCAGAAGTGTTCAGTGAACAAGAACAATACTCCATAGATTTTCAAATTGATGGAGCTTTTCAATGTAAACTAATTTGTTCCAGCATTGAAGTGAGCATAATTAACAGAGGCTTTCCTTCTTAGGCCGATTAACCAGCGAGAACCATGCCAGCATTGTAACTGCAGGCAGTGAAAACCAATATTTATGAGGGGTTGTGCAAGGGCTTGTGTGACAGATGGGCATTTTATCACTGTTGATGTTTGGAATTTCTTGAAAAGCAATGTAATATCTTGTTTTTTTATGAATGAATGAACAAATCATTGTGCTTTGTGGACTAAGTTTTCCTATTCTAAATTAATCTTTTTCTCTCTTTACCTTCTGTTACTTGATATTAGGGAGTCTAATATATTCTGATGTTAAAAAAAAAAAACCAAAAACCTAACGCTAAAAAAAAAAAAATTATTGTGTTTTGTTTCAGATACAGATCCACGTGTCTTAGAGAAGCAAGAACTGCAGCAGCCGACCTATGTGGCCCTCAGTTACATCAATAGGTAAGCTGCCCCAGAGAGACAGCTGCCGTTTGCTGCTGCTTTGCTCTCTAGATGTGTCTTACTACCACAGTAAGTGCTTTCAGTTTAAAAATGTGCAGCATCTCTGTGGAAGATCTCTTAGTTCTTTATTGAGGGGTATAGATTGTAGCTCACTGTGTGTAAGTCTGAAAACATGGCTGATTTATAAGCTCATTTTGCAAGTATTTTGTATGCAGTTAGAATATGCTCTTTTGACTTCATAGGGCAGTGTGAGAGATTAGTGGATTTATGTTTGCATGAACCTTTTAAATCTTGGGGTGAAAAAGGTACTTTTTATGAATTCAAAACATAGTTGGAGTATCAGAATATATTGGACTCTAACTAGATGAAATCATTTTGTTTCAGAACCTCATTTGGTAGCAGGTCATCTTTCAGTAGGAACACTGTCAGCAGCTGCCCCCACGTGTGCAGAGGGACATGAGTTTTCACCGCCGTTCCTCCTGAGCCTAGCTCTAGAGAACTGTTTTGAGTTTGAATATCAAACCTAAAAGAAGACTTAGTGTTTCAACCAACTCCAGTGGTTAAGGAGACAGTAATTTAGGGGTGAGAACTCAAAGTCACCTTTGGGTTAAAAAAAGCATACACTGTCCAAGCAACGTGGAGAGAGTGAGAACAAAATTAGTTTTTAATGAGAATATGAGCTCGTTGCCCATAAGTCAGTGGGCAGATTTGTTTTGGCTGTCCCTTTCCCATACGGCAAAGACCTTTTCCAGGCTCTCGGTGCCAGAGCGTGGACCAGGGTCCGGAGAGGAACTCTGCCAGTGAATTATCTGCACTCTTCAGTGTGGTGTCATTTAGGAGACACAGTTAATTCCTGCCAAGACACAGCTTGGGTTTCTTACCTGAGCTCAGCTTCACATCCTTGTAATGAAGCATGTTTTCAAAGGGAATTATGAATGAAAGCATCTGGGTGCAGGTCGTTTTTTGATTTCCTGCTCATCAGACATTCTAAGGAGTAGTGTAAACTGTCTTAGTCTTTCACTACCTGTATTCGGACATGTTGCTAGAATACATTTAGATTATATTCGATTACATAAAGAAGTCTGAGTTTTTCAAAGAGCCTGTACTATTTCCGATACTTACCAAGAGAGCTGAAAAACCTCTAGTTATAGATTCATAGAACTGTACTAGATTAGCCTGTTGATGTTGACAGATCTATCCAGTCTAAAGGAACAGACATCTATAGCAGACTACTAAGCTTACTGGTGACTTCTCTAGGAAGAAAGTTTGTGTAGGCTCGCCAGATTACCAACTCTGAACAAAAGACCCTTTTGTGGGGATTGCTGTGCTGGGACTTATTACTCCTCACACTCTAGATATTTGCTTATGGGGAGTAGATAAAAACAGACCGGCGGAGGCAGATGCAAGAGGTTCAAAGAATTGAGAGCTACAAACCTGTGCATACTGTAAGAAGAATACACACACCCAGAGAGAGAGAGAGAGAGACAGAGAGAGAGACAGAGAGAGAGACAGAGAGAGAGACAGAGAGAGAGAGAGACAGAGAGAGACAGAGACAGAGAGAAGAGAGACAGAGAGAGAGAGAGACAGAGAGAGAGACAGAGAGAGACAGAGAGAGACAGAGAGAGACAGAGAGAGACAGAAACACAGAGAGAGAGACAGACAGACAGAGACAGAGACAGAGAGAGTTTAGACAAAGCTACTGCTGAAGGAGGAAGAAATGCTGACTTAACAGCAGTGTCCTGACTGACAGGAAAGCATACTCCTCTTTCTCCTTTGTTTTTGTTTTGCTTTTTTTATTTCTGGGTTTTCTTTTGGATGGGTGGGTGGCCGGGTGCTTGGCTGTGTTTTGTTTCTGATATAGGATCCTGCTGTGCAGCCTCTGGAATTTGACATCTAAGCTAACCTTGAACCTGAAGCAGCCTTCCTCTGTCCTGGAGAGCTGGAATTATATGCACGGGCTACCACGCCTGGCCCAAGAGAGGGTTGTCACTCCTTAATTATATTTTTTTTATTGATAAAGGCAAGGGTTAGGGAGATGTCTCAGTTAGTAAATGCTTGCCTTGCAAGCACAAGGACCTGAGTTCAATCCCTGGGACCCATTTAAAGAAGCAGGCATGGCCTACACACTCAGTCCCAGCCCTTGGAGCCCAGTGGAAAGAGGTGAATCTTGGCCCTCATGCGGGGAGTTTCAGACCAGTGAGAGACTGTCTCCAAAACAAAGTGGATGTCTCCTGGAGAACAACACCTAAAGTTGAACTCTGACCTAAACACACACACACACACACACACACACACATATGCTCCCACGGAGGAAAGGAGAGGGAGAGGGGTAGGGAGGGAGGGAGGGAGGGAGGGACGGAGGGAGGGAGGAAGGGAAGGGGAGGGAAGGGGAGGGAGGGAGGGAGAGAGAGAGAGAGAGAGAGAGAGAGAGAGAGAGAGAGAGAGAGAGGAATAAACACAGATGATTGTAGCCTGGAGTACTTGGGTTCAGACCTGTTGAGGCGGCTCCAGAATCTAACCATTGTGCAGCCAGAGTTCTTAGGATACCAGAGCGATAAGTACTCAGTGAAGACAAGAGGAGAGTCTTGAAGAGAGCAAGGATATAAAATAACACAGCAGTTACTCTACCCAGTATAACTGCCTGTCAGCAGTCTGCACAGGGACAGCAATGGAGACTATAGAAGCCAAAACCTGTAAGAGAGGTGTTCACGAATCCCTTTGTAAGGCACTGCCGGATCACAAAGCTGGAGTTGGGGGTGGGTGTAAGAAGTTAATCCCAACATACCAGCCACAGTGGAAGGACACCTTAGCCTTGCAGCCAACAGGAAAGAGCCGGGTGAGCTCCTGGGCAAAACAGGTGAACCTCCACCACCAAAACCTTGCCAAAGAGTGTGTGTTGCTCCTGGATAGTTCTGCAGGTTATTGTCCAAGAAGTTCAGGTAACTGCCTTAAGGAGACATAGTAACTTTTTGGATCTTTTGAGATAGGGTCCCACTATGTGGCCCTGCCAGTCCTGGAACTCACTCTGTAGATCATGCTGGCCTTGAACTCACAGAGATCTGCCTGCCTCTGCCTTTTGAGTGCTAAAATTAAAGGTGTTTGCCACCATGCTGGGCTACAAGGTAACTTTGTAATCATTTGTGACTCTCCAGAAATAAGTATCAGAGATAACATTAAGGATGTAACAGCACATATGGCCAAGGTTGTTAATGATTCTGTTTTCTACAGAATATTCTTATTAAGATAACATAAATCAGAATTTCTAAAGCTATTTAATTTTTAAACATGTGTAGCATTTGATATGTGAACATTCATCATGTGCGACTGCAGATTCGTGGTGTCTCGTATTTCACTCTCATCATTTGCTGCTGGATGAAAGTTTAATATCTAACTACATTACCGCTCTGGTTCTCTTCTTAGGACTCCCTGCACTGCTGGTGCAGGGAGCTTAGGTTTGACCTCTAAGAGTGATTTTAATTTGATTTAATGTTCACTCTGAAAGTTGAATCACAGTTCTTCCTAGAGCAGTAATTTCAAGAGTGATTCAGGACCACACACACACACACACACACACACACACACACACATACACATGACCATTTATTCACAGGAGGATATTATGGGCTTTAATGTTGGGGAGTGTGAGTTAAGTGAAATAGATTTCCAAGCTGGGTATGATGTTGCACACCTGTGATCCCCAGCAATTGGGAAGCTGAGGCAGGAGAATCACAAGTTCAAGGCCAGATGGCTGCAAATGGTTCCATGTCTCAGTTTCTCAGTTCAAGATCTATACACGTCACTTCCTCTTCCTCTGTGCTTGATATCCATTTCAATTCTCTAAATGCGATGATATCATTCTGGTGTGGTTCTTGGGTAGCTTTTGCTTGAGGTGCCTAATAGGAATTACTGTTCTGAAAACATCATTTTAGGTTGCTAAGGTAATATCACCTTCACCTCCCTCCTCAGCTTCCCCAAGGAGTAAGATTTTATACAGAATGGCTTTCTGTTCTTTTTTCAAATTTAAAATGCAGAATTGCCTTTCTTCTCACAATCAACTAGAGAAAAGGAAGACAAAATTCTGCCCAAACACACTCACTAAATCACTTGCTAATTTTTTTATGCTTTTGAATTACAGTTTCCCTCAGGAGGTTTCTTCCCTTTCTCTCATGTAGGCGTGATGCAGAGTTAGGCTGCTCATCTTAGGGTTCTGTGTGCTGCTCATGACCTGTGTCAGAGACTGCACACCTTGCCTGCATTTCCTCATCTCTAGTAGTTCCTTCCTTGCTGTATTCACACAAAACAAATATCAGCGCCCACGGCATAGCAATCTATGTAAGCAAAAGGCCGTGTCATTTCTCACAGCAATGAAATCTTAATGAAAGAGATGACGGCAGAGAGGGTTGCTTTAGAGGAGCCAGGACAATGTGCACCATCTAACATGCCTCATGAATGCAGGACATTTTGTTTCCAAGCCTCCAGGACAACACTGAGCCTGTTGCTGCCCCTTAGTAACGTTTACCGAAGGAACGCACAAATGTTCTTGTGATGAGTGAGTGTGTAACTGATCCTGAGAACTGTGAGATTTCTTCTGTACAAACTGCCCATATTCATAGAAAGACCTTCGGGAGAAACTGAAACTGTATATGTTCACTCCACATTCATCCAACTTACAACATGTCTCACCATAACTAGAGAAACTGTATGAGATGGTGAGTTTTAGGCTCTAAACAGTAGGAAGTTCAAGACTGGTCCCTGGGAGAAGGGAAACCTGAGGGAGGGATGGATACCACATTCGTCTACACCACTTCACTGTAGTGTGAAAAGCGAGGCCTAGGCAGAGCTCAGCAGCTCCTCAGAGCTAATCTGGAGCCTCGGGCACTGTGACTCCTGTGTGCATACATGTTTCTATGTTGCCAGAATACGCCGCCATGACCACAACAGCTGCAGCTGGAGCAGGAAGGGAGAGGGAGGGAGGGAGAGAGGGAGGGAGGGAGGGAGGG